CAATTCTTTATTCTTCCAGCCTCATTCACGGGATTGAATATGAAATTGCCCCACATCAGATGCAACATATATGATATAATATCCACTTGTGTCACTGCTTCTATTAGCCACATGCCATCAAAATGTACAATTTCGCGCTTTTAACGATTTTCGCAAATGCATCAGTTGTAAGATGACAAGGTCACAGTAGAAAACCTAACTGTAATTTATTTATTAAAATGAATCATAGACTTTATACGGGTATTGCACTTTCATCTNTTGCAAGTTTCATCTAATACACCGCGCTTCTCGTTTTAGCTGCTTCTCGGCTTTAATTATATACCAAAACCTTTTGGAAGTTTTATCCGGTTTGGGCATGGTGACACTACAGGACGCTTATTCAACGAGCCGCACATCTCAAGGTCAACTTTCGAAAATCAACTTGTGTCTTTCTTGGACTATGTTTTCAGTTCTTCCAGTATTGGAGATAATGTGTGAGTAGTTTGTAGCCTAATAATTTAGCAATTTATTAAAGTTAGAATATTTTCAATAATTTGCTTATTTACTGTGCACTGAATGAAAACAGAATATAAATTTAGAATACGTGTGCTCAACCAAATAGAAACTCTCATGGAACACGAATCATCTATTCAAAAGAATGAACACCCGTGCTACTTTGCCCAAAATATTTTATAAATCCGAGCTGTAACTTTCGAACTACCTCAGATTCATGGTTGAACCTTACGTTTGTGTCAAATCCAGAGGACAACTGATCGGTCTTTATCAAACGAGTAGAAGAATGTCGGCCACATTGTGGTAGCCGTATCTATCTATATAGAATTTACGAATTTACTCCAAAGAGATAATATGACTGTAATCGGTTACAATAGATGATTTCTCCAATTATGAACCCCATGCATCCTCAGGATTACGATGTCACACATCGTGCATGTGGTAATTGGACGCGATCGATTTCTTGACAGCTATTACAAATAAAAATAAACCATACTTGTATAAAGGAATGGTTGCGCATCGATTTCTTGAATTATGCACAAACGGCAGTTGTACGAATTGGGCGACAGCACATGACGGTAACTGACCACCGGTGGTCTGCTACTTCAACCCTGGGAATCAATTCGACAATACCATTATGCGTCTTGAAAGAACACTGGAAATAAGCTGAAAATAGTGATACTGATTCAGTCAGTTATCATTCTCAAACTGAACAACAGCTTTCATACGCGAATTTCGCTTGCAATGATCGGATATCGCGTGACACTTAATGGCAGTAAACTAGCCCGTTCAAAATTTGGTTAGATACAACATGTATGCATACATGTTGGTTGGTGATGTAGACAGCGATTAATAAAGATTAAAAAGTAGACGGATATAATCTTGAGAAAGAACGAAGATAATTTCAAGCTTATGATTTGGTATATGCCCAAATGGTTGATGCGCCTCCAATCGTGAGAACGATCCACTAAAATAACAAAGCAATGCTTCTAACCTCAGGGCTACATTCAACAGTTTTGTGAAATTTGACTTTTCTCGTCTGCTCTGTTCCGATTATCTAATCGCAATAGATCGCGTTACATATTTAATTGCTTTGAATTTTTGTGGTGATCCTCACGTACGAGATGACGTGCACCCTGGAGCCACACGTTACAGCTTTTGGACAACTGCAATCAAACTTCACGGGTGACGTCAACAAAGCGCGTACTTGACTACATACCACAGATATATCGTACCAGCCAATTAAACACCGCAGTGCGCATAAAGAAGCTGAACAACGCTAGCAACAGTGGAACGCGATTGATAGAAGCCCGATTAAACAATGCACCTACTTTGTACATATTATTTAATTCCCATTTCAATAAATAAACCACTACTGCTGAAGTGTGTTTTTGCGTCCCAGTTACGTGGGATATTGCGTGCTATTGTCAGTGCGGTCCACTGCGAACGTGAGCCAATCCGTGATTCGTATTGCGTGGTTCGTGTTCCGAGATCAATGCGCACTATTACTACTCCTGCCATTACCACTAAGTTCGGCTTGAGTTCAGTTGGTACTCAACGTTCATCAGATAAGACCCATTTTATCTATAGGCATGTTTTTTGTTTTATCCTGTAGCAAGGAACATATCACAAATCTTTCCTGTTCCATCCGGTCCGTTGCACAAAGAGTACATAAGCGCTCATGTGATACTGGTTAACATAATTAACAGCTCCGACATCCATCAGCCGAAAACATCAAGCTCTCAGTTCTATTGATGAATATTCTGCTCCCAACACAATCTTTAATACGTGCTGACTAATTTTTCCATAAGGTGGAAAAGTAGTGGATGTGGACCATATTGAATTGACAACCTAGGAAATCTCTGATAAAGATTACGTATTGAAAGTTTATCTTACACAGATTCATCATGTTATTTAACTCCATCGCAAGTTGCCTGTACAAATCACAGTTAGCTAGAATTTCTTTGAATACCTTTAACTAAACATGAAGAATAAGCAAACTACTATTTTCAGGCAAAACCTCTGGTCGACTTACTTTTGCTTTCTTCAAATTTAACCGTCACGAATCTTGAATCTTGGGTTGTAGCTAATCGCCGAACAGTTGTTCAACGCTGTCTCCCATAACGGAATATTCAGTTAATGGAGCATAGGACAGCAAACACCGATCACACAGACGCCATTCTCTTGCATCTCGCGTCATTTGCTTGAAACAAAGCATCAATTCGCCCAAAATACCGCGTTCTTAGTGTTTCTCTAGAAAAGCTATTCAGGTTTACTATAATTTTCTGAAACGATTCCAATTCATCAATGGAAACCTTTTTGGTGTATACAAAACAAGTTACTGGTTGACTCAGAACGGCCGTACAGTTTCATAAATATTGTCCTCAGTAGAGCGTGTTCATGTGAAACGCAAAGTAGATGATAATGCACCTCAAGTTCACAAGGGAGAAATACACTTTGCAAAAGTGACAACAGCCACCCTTCAAACGTCAAATGTCGAAGTCTCGGATGCATAGAAACTAAATGTGATCAGGTTTGGTTTGAATGACACAATGAAACTGTTTTATCTTTCTATTTCAAATACTATATACGAATAACGTGAGTTTCATTGGATTTTGCCTGGACAGCTAATTGGTACATGAGATAGATTGTACAGACCTTGAATGGACCTGGAACATCCAGCACTTTTACCTTCATAATTCTAATAGATTGCCTTAATGGCCAAATGCCACTTGCAATCCCGCGACTGGTACGGGCAGATTGCATTCTGTATGATTTATGAATGAGGGGAGGAACTATATCTTAGGAGTCAATTATCTCCCCGAGTGGTAGCAACGACGTAAATGTTATTGAGATTATATAGGATTCCTGAATATGGGATTCATTTAATCTTCATTTGTTTCATGGCTTTGAAGGATCCATACAGCATCGCACGATTTTTACCTGGGTATTTGTATGTGAAAGGCGACAATTTGGTAAAAAACTAACTTAAATATTGCCGTGCTATCACACGTTCACCCAAATCCGTTTTACTGTCTACCTCAGGAGCCTTGAAGCCTCCAGGTTTTCTTATTTCTTCCTTCATCCTGTTACGGAAAGTTCTCAAACGCGCAATAAATGAGTGAGCCATACAATAGGCAAGTGCGCAAAATCGTCGTTGTTGCTACATCATATTCACGCCAATTCAGCACCGTTGTGGTCACCTGCTTTGCTAAATCACAACCTATCAGATTGAGATTGTGACGCAATCATTTGTAACTCAAACAGTATCCTGTGACACCTCACTGCTAAATTTATCAGGTGATGTCGTTATGGGTGTATCAGCGTTCACACCATACACTCAGAATATGAAGTATTATGTTACAATAAGCTGTGGAAATACATAAATATTGGGATGATTCAAATTTTAATTCTTACAAAAGTAAGACTTGTGTTAATAATCTAACTTAAGGGATGGATTGTCTGTAAATTACCTTGAACAATTTGGTTCAACCCATCAATGAGGGAGGGTTTTGTTGACCATTCGCTCTGTTTGATTTCTAGAGATGAGTTATTGCTATAAAATCGACTGTGTCACGTTGCTTCCACCAGAACTTCCCTGTAACTAATCCAGATCAACGGACATGCAATAACACCTGCACATATCAAGCTGGTAAACACATCCGCAAATGCAATTCAGTCATTCATTGCGGGCTGCTGTTTTAGTTTACAAGGGTTGCTTGGAAGGAAATTAGTTGGGGGAGGAGCGACAATGCATATCAAAATGGAACCAAAATAATCAAAGCAGGTTTACAGTCACAGTTTCCAAATCCGGTTTGAATTAGTCACCTGTGGTCTTCTTAGTGATTGATTTTCGGTCTCCCAAAATGCCAGTATTTTAACCAAAAATGATCTGAATGTATGTACACAGCTGATGAGCTTACCTAGAGGTAACCTCCTGTGCGCTGCAACTTCACATCACCAGGACTAACAAGTCTCTCGCACCTTGAAACGAACAATTATATTTAACAAAACTTCTGTCATCACAAGCACTGATGATGTCACCTCGGCTGGTGATGAAACGTTTGGAAACAAATTGCCAAGCTCGACTAACAGGCGCTATGGAATTCTGTCATCCACGTCATTGATGTTCCTATTATGCTATGGAATTCTTACTCGTTTTATCAAAATAACATCATTGTTAATGATGCGACAAAGTGACGATAAAGTTTCATTGTGCCCACTATATTTGAGCATTGGATAAGAGTCTGCTCGTTCAAAGAGTGAACTGACACATCATCATAATGTTGTGAAATTAAGTGAGCCACATTATTAAACGTGTCTCTTTAAGACAGGACAATTTTAGTGCCAATGAATTCACCCTATAGTAGTAATTATTCAATTATCATATTAAATTAAACATACCTCATTTAACTATCTTAGTTTACATCAGGCTACTCGGTGATTGTCCAGGAAACCGACGGTTTTCCGGAGTTCAGTCAGAAAAACAGCACGATTCACATGAGAATTCGGTAGTACGCAACAAGGGTGATTCAAACTCTCGTTCCGAAGACTGAAAATGTCAATGTCGCGGCACGGAATAACCAGAGTGGTTAAAAGTTAACATGATAAAACATTTTCCTAATTGAGAAATGCGTCGAAGGAGAGAAAGAGCGGACAAGGTTTAGCTAGCTGAAGCTGAAGGTATGCTTCAATCTATCACTCTACCCTAGTACGTGCATCAGATCATTTTTGATGAAACGTCTTCAGGTAAATATCAGCCACTGAGGATTGATAAATGACATAGGTTCATACGATAGATTGTTTACATAAGTGGAGCTTACTAACTAAACCATAGTTGCACTCAAAATTGTTTTTCATTTTCACACCTGCAATTTGTTGCACCTTTTCTTTGAAAATATTCGTATACCTACGCAAATCAGTGAAGTGTGCCTGAGAAACAAACACGACAAAAAAGCAGGATAATATTAGCTAATGACTTTTTTAAAAAGAATAATAGCACCAATAAACGGGTATGACAATCTGGAACCTAAGTAGCATAAGAGTCACCTGAGTGTATATAAAAAGCCACCAATCATCGACATCTTGCCAAAAGATGACTTTGCAGCATAATATAAAAGCCAGCGGTTTTCAGCACACAACAACTCAGAAAAAATGAAATCAAATGTTGTGATAATACTTATAATCACGTTCTGTGCCAGCGAGATCGTCGGTAAGTAACTCAGTATTCACGAAATTTATTTTCCTACAACTAGCACAAGCTGCACAGGATTGTAAAGAAGTTAATGCAACGACGGAAGTACAGAAGTTCGTTGTAAGCAGTACTCGCACCGGCTGTCAGTACCGTGTCCAATCGGAATCCGGTAAAGCGGTGAAGGTGTTTGTTAATGTAAGCGAACACCAACTCAACCGAACCTATCTGAGACTATGAAGCGTGAAAAATCGAATGAGTTGTTCCCATTGGCTTCTTTTTTCACAGGCGACGAGTGGGAGCAAATGTGTGAAGGCGTCCAGTGACGGGAAATCGGAAACGCTGTGTCCATCAGGTCCAACGAACCAATTGACATCCAGCCCACCGATTGACATGAGTGCGGTTTATGACACGACTAGTTCAGATGCGACAACCGCACCTACGACGGAAGCAACAACCAAGGCTACGGAAGCCACTGCACCAACAACAAAACCAGAGACTGAAGGGGATGATACACATTCGGAAAAAGCGAAATCATCAGCATCAAATAAACAAGGAACGGGTGCCAGTTCAAAAAAAGAATCAGTAGAGAAAGCTGATTCGCACAGCAGTGCGGGAGATGAACAAGAGAGATCCGCAGTTGAGCAAGACATCCATGATGTTCAACATATCAGACTTGCCAGAGATACTTCTAACGACGTAACTGTATATTACGTAGTGGGTGAGTATTGCACATCTGTTTACACAAAGGAATCAGTGCGATTCCGTTTGTTCGACTGTTTGAAGAAAATGATTCAGGTAATCTGCCAAATCCAAATATCTGAACGTTTTAATTATCTACTCTCTCCTACGATAATCCATTTCAGACGGCGTGTCAAAATCGAATCCATCAATTTTCTTAATTGTGGGATTCATTGCTCATCTCATCCTCAGCAATCTATAGTGAGTGATGATGTACAAACCCTCTCAATTAAATTCATTATTTCATGATTTTCCCAAATATGATTGCACATATGTAGGGGTACCGGTCTGTCCGTTTAATTAATACTGCTGCTTTTCCATTCTCCCACATCTAGAATCCAAGAGGAAGTGAATGCATCAAAATTAGCTCAAAAACTGATCTTTACTTTGGTATGTCGAAGAATAATAGAATATGATGATAACTGTGCCCGTCCTTTTCGTTGACGATTCGCATGTTTTATAAGGCAGTCAATTCACAAGAAACATGGCGAGAGCACATGAGAGATAAACAAAGGTTACAACTTGACTCAAGTGAAGTTCGAGAGCTTTCTGAAATCACTTTGGACGATTACAAGTTATCTAGATGCAAAAAACAAAAAACGATGAGATATACAAGGTGGAGGGCGAAATCACAGAGAGCTTAAAGGTGCTAAATTTACAGGGGCACATGGACAATGCTGCATTCCATAGAGTGAAATCATGTGGGTGCACTTTTTCGTTATTCTATGGTTTTCCTGAGATCCACAAAAAAGGAGTTCCAATACGATCTATCATGGCAACGGTGCATTCACCATATCACACATCGGCGCATTCGTTGGTTGAATTACTAGAACCCATCCATCGGAAACTCGCCGCATACAGTCTCCGAAGCAGTTTCCAGTTTATAGCTAAGATAGGAGCCCTAAATCCTCAAGTAAAGACGATGTATGCCTTGGACGTCGACTCACTGTTCACTAATGTACCCCTGCTGGAGAAAGTGGAATTCATCTGTAATCAAATAAAAGAACTAAATGTTGACGTTGGTGTTCCTTTCACAAATGTAAAGTAACTGTTATTATACTGCGCAAGTAACGTCCAGTTTGTATTCGATGGTACTGTTTATCGTCAGATGGACGGGATTGCCATGGAATCGCCACTTGGTCTGTTGATAGCTGACATCTACGTGGCTAAACTAGAAAGGAGCATGCTGATCCGATTTCGTGAAGGATTAGTACAGCACGGTAGATATATGGATGATATCTTCTGTGTGACCGATCTCGAAAATAGCATTCGACAGACACTGAAATAGTTCAACGACATCCATCACCGAAATTCACTGTGGAGATTGAAACAAACAACATATTGGCCTTTGTGGATGTAGTCGTATCCAGGAAAGAAGACCGATCATTAAAAAGATAAATCCACCGAAATAAATCATGGAATGGCCAACATACTAAGTTCCGTTCCTGTAAAATATAAACGCAATCTAGTTCGATGTCTAACTTTCAGAGCCCGGACGATTTGTTCAGAAGACACACTGTATGAAGAGGTACACTTCATCGGTCAAGCGCTGCAGGACAATGATTACCCGGAAAAGAACATTCAGCTCTCTCAGGATAAGAAAATGTCCACCTGTGCCTCCAAGAAAAAAAAACTATTCACGCCTAAACAGACAACCTAATCGAATCACTGAGAGCGGCTGTGAATTCCAATTTCCCCGAGGCCAAACTTATACCAGTGTTTTCCACATCACCGTTGGTGCGAATGTGAAGACGAACTGCGGAAACTGAACTCATCGATGATAATTTACTCTTATCAGTACTTCTGTGGTGCATGTTACATATGCCGTGCGGTAAGTCGTTGGTCTCAGCGCGTTAAGGAGCACCACCCGCGATGGTTAACTCAGAGGAAGACGGCATGCATCTCAAGCGCGATCACGGGGCATCTTGTCGACACCGAGTAAAAGATCGAACCGGAGAAATCTTTTGATATTGGCTATCGTATCCTACTCAATCGATCGAAGGCGGCTCGAGTTTAGACACTGACCATGGCCAAGGAGATCGCCGTTCGCTTACTAGGTCCTAACCTGTGTGCCCCAAAAATACTTGTGCAGGCGCTCGAATTGCCGTGGCCGCGTGTGAAAACCAATACAGAACATGACGCGTCACCTGACCCACATCAACTAACACGTTAAACATTTAAACACACACACGCATACAATTCCATCACTGTCTGCCTTTGATTGAGAACCTTAAATTGGGTGTACTGAGTATTTTAGGTACAATGTTACAGATTGTTTAGGCAATGTGTAGAGCATGATAAAAATAAAATGGCGGTGATCTTTTCATGAATTCATCATTTTATTCAAACGTGAGCTGAAAAGCTGGAAGACCTTAACCAGTTGTCTCCAACGGGTTGGGTCTTATCAGCAGTGAGAAAGATTCCACCCAACTGCTGATAAGACTCAAACCCGTTGGAGAAAACTGGTTAGGGCTTCCCAGCTTTTCAGCTCACGTTTGAATAAAATGATGAATTCATCAAAAGATCGCCTGACCCTCATGCTTCAGTCTCCGTGGGTCAGGCAAACCTCACAGTGCTGCTGGTGTGGGGTTTGCGCTAAGTTTCAAGTCCGAGCGTTCACTTCTCGATCGGATTCTGGTTAACAACCGACTTTGCACTTTACGTCTGGTTGGTTCAGTACGCGTCAGCAGCTACAGAACGAAGCGTCGATTCTCATTCGTTGTGTCGATGTATGCACCTAACGATTGCAGTTCACTTTAAATTAAGGATGGGTTCTACGAGGACCCTTCTCGATTACTCCAAATAGTTCGAAAAGCGGAATTGGTGGTAATCTCCAGACACTTAAAGTGAAATCCCTGATCGAATCAGAGAGGCTTCTTGGTGTACTACATGCAATCCTAGGCAACCGGACGGAAAACCGCCATCGCCTTTTTAAATGTTTATCGATCAAGGACTGTTCCTGTCAAGCACGATTTTCTCTCACAAAAAACGCCACCAACCAACATGGAGACCGCCAACTGCTTCACAGCGCTTGACTCAAATAGACCACATCGCCATCCGCCACCGCTGGAAAAGATCCATTGAAGACTGCCGCTCGTACTGGTCAACACCCGTGGACATGGACGAAGGGGATTCCCCCTATGCCTGATAAACAACCGCCGGCAAGTTAACGAAAACAGATGCCAACAATACTATATCAGCGACACTGTGAAATCGGCCTTCGAGGCGGAACTATCAGATCGCCTCTCATTTGACTCATCATCCGGAGGACTCAGTAAACACTGGTCGGCAATCAAGGAAGCAATCAAAATTTCGATAAGAATAACGGCAAATTCTGGCGCACGAGTAAATAAAAAACGATGGATCTCACCGACCTCGGTTGCACTGCTGGACTCTTGTTGAGCCATTCCTTTGGATTCAAAATACGACAAAACGCGCAGATTCCTTAAACGCAAGCTCATCAAGAGTCTGAGGAATGACCACGATACGTGATAGTTAGGGAAGTGCAGAGAGATGTAGCAGGCTGCGGCTATCGGTAATAGTCGCAATCTTCTTCGTTTTATTTGCAGTACAAGGCCACGGAAAGAAGGCGTAAATGAAGTAATTAAGGATTCTGGTGGCACACTGATTCAAATTCATGATCGTGGTCCTGAACGTTGGGCAGAACGATTTAGGGCACAGCTCAATAGGTCCCCTTTGACACAAGAACCGGTTCAACCGTGTAAATTTAACAAGTTGCAATCAATCTTCCATCTGAAATGGTGGTTACCCGAGAACTAAGTTACCTCAAACGGCATAAAGCTTCCGGCTCCGACGGGCTGTCCTTATCCGGTTTCAAGGATTGAGGTGCAGCCTTGGTTTTGGAGTTAACAAAACTCTTGTTTTCAGTGTGGAAAAGTGAAAAGGTCCCAACTGAATGGTGTGAATCAGTAATCATGCCAATGTACAAGAAAGGGGACAAATTCTCTTTTCAAAACCCTTTGAAATTAGTTTAATCAACATCATCTCTAACCGTCTCGCTGGTATCATACTCCCTTGATTTTCTGCCACACGTGAACGGTGTACGCGCGAAAACCAGGCTGGTTTCACACCTGATCGAGGTTGTATTGACCACATCTTCACACTTCGCCATATTTCAGAACCTAAACACTCATTACTTAGACAAACCATTTCTCTCTTCCTCAATCTAAAAGCAGCTTTCCACTCATTCGACCGCTCTTAACTCTGGTGATGCATTCCCTTCCAGTAAGTGCCCGATAAGTTAATCGCAATATTACAATCGCTTTATACTAATAGCCGAAGCCGAGTCCGAGCTTACGGCACTTTTTCACCACGGGTGCCCGACAGGATTGTCCTATCTCTCCGTTTCTGTTAAACATCGTGCTAGATTAAATTTTTGAAACAGCCCAATCCTCGTGCGAGGATATCAGTTTCGAATTCAGTTTCAGGTAGCAGACTGTCTGATCTGTAGTAAGTGGACGACCTTGTATTAAAGGAAGTAGACAAATGTTGCTATTGGTACAGTTATGTCTCACCTGGCGGACGCATCACAGATGAAGTGTCGGCGCGGATACAAGAAGCACGGTTGGCTTTTGCTGACATGAGACATTTGTGGTGCCGTCGCAAAATCCGGCTGTATGTGAAGGGTCGAGTGTAAGTTGAAGCAGTTGGGCAAATCCTGCGTTGCGTTGCAGATACTTGGATAAAAATAGATTATGGGTAATCGGATAACTCTGCCTACGTCGCGTTGCACGAATCTAGTGTGGGAGACGGATGAGCAATGCTGAGGTCAGGCGAAGAGGTTTAGGTATTCGCGGTAGGCCACTGGACCAAGTGATCGACCTGCATAAATCATGTTATTTGGGGGATGTGTTACGCATAACACCGGATAGTCTGCCGCTGCGAGCGAGTTTTTCCAAAATTGGTAGCGGTGGGAAAAAGATCAAGAGTTGTTGAACTAATACCTGGCATAGTGGTATGAAAACCATAACAAGCAGACCAGGTCACATAAGTCCCGTTAGGCTGGGGACTTCGGAATATTGGTCACCGATGGTTGAAGATATTGAGTAATATAAATGAGGGTCGGAGACAGTGGCGCTCGTGCATCCACTCATTATTTCTCTATTACTATGAGTATGAACTGCCCTTCTTCCGCTTGAAGTTTCTTTCAACATTTCAATCTTCATTCTGCTCTTTTATCGAAATGAGGTACGAAAGGACAGCAAGCAAATCAAAGCAAGAATGTGCATAATTGAAGGCTGTAAAAAATGAAACTGAAAAATGAAATATAATGGAGACGGTTTTTAAGAGTGAATGGTACCTCAATGCACTTACTGCTGTTAAGTACAAGGGATCGGGTCACGAACCAATCGTAAAGTTGATTAAAACTGTCCTGGAGAGATCGAAAACTATATGATACATTGGATGGGCAATCAATCACAAGATCATCGGCATACCTATAAGCAACACAGTTGATGGGAATGGGAAAATTTTGTGTATACTCAGAAAAACAAGAAAGGAGACCAAAGGGCACCCTGAAAAACACCCGCTTCAATGTTAATAGAAGAGGACTGAACACCAATGAGTTAAGTAAACTGATTCCTACAGGAGAAGTAGTCAACTAGTAAATTCAAGAATTCAAGTGTTAGACCACATTCGGAAAGACGTTCGATAAGCAGTCTTCGATCGAAAGAACCAGAAGCGTATGTATAGTCAAGAAACGTCCAATGAGTGGTGCCAGCACGATTGTCTAAGACGGAAGTAACAGAATGAACAATATGAGCAACGGCGTCAAGTGGAGTTTATAAGCGAATTGTAAAGGGTCATTGGGGTTACAATGGCGTATCATGCGGTGCAGCAAAACATTTTGAAAAGCCTTCCGCAACACAGATATGCAGGCAATAGGACGGTAAATTGACAATGCTTTCGTTGGGATTGGTCTAATTTGAGCTGACCTCCAACGATCGGGGATGGTTTCAGATGACAAACAAGTACTGACCAATTCGGATATGGGTGTTGCAAGCTGGGCGGCGCAGATTTTCAACAAATGAGGTGCTAATCTAGCGGGACCATGATTTTTATTGTCTTTGACTCTCCCCAAAACTTAGCGAAATTCGTCTGGTGAAACAGGGATTATTGCCTCATGGGTGCAAAAAGGACGTGGGAGGATGCTAGATTCAGGTATAGGTGCGAAGTTGGAACATGAACTGATGGCGGGGCCACAAAATTTCCGCAATGTATTCCACATTTTACTAATTATTTTATTGGCCAAAACAGTCTCGACGTACA